ATGCTGGCTGGGGAATTCTGGGAGTTGAAGTCCACTCATCTTAAAGTGGCCAAGTTTGGACAACACTGATCTAGGTTCATGCAAGACACTGAACCACGAAAGCACCAAATGGGTTGGATTTGAGGACCACGGCAAGGTTGGCAAGGTTCCAACGACTAAACTAAGCTTATCCTCAACCAAGTTTAGCCTCCTGTCCAAAAACACAACTAGTAAAAGCCTGTTGTGTGAATAAGGTCATGGCTTTCTCTCCCATTCATAACACGAAGACGACAACACATCCCATCTTTGCACTAATGACTCCGCAACGTTCTTCGATACAAAGTTCTCGCCGCACCGTGTCCATTCCCAGCAAGACCTGGTTCCCGCAGATAACCATTTGCTCCTCTTACTTTGCCATTCAAAGCAAAGAGGGTTTCCCGTCCCAACCGCCAGGAGAGTTTTGCAACGAACGATGCTGTACGCAAAATGCCACGGGAGGATCCACGTTTGCAACCCCCAAGATTAGAGAGAAAAAAGGAACAAGAGGATTAACATCAGGATGGGGAAGAGGAAAAATGCCTTTGGACCGATCCTAAATTCAAAAATGCATTAAAGACTCTCTTCCAGCTACATTTTTCTCGGTGGCTTGAGAGAAGTAGTCAGTCACTGCCTCCTGGATTTTTTTTAAACCTAGATTCTCCTGGTGGCCTCCCATCCTAACCCCAAATGATATAGCTTTGCAGGATAAGCACCTGCAATTCTTTCCCCCAACGGAGAGTTCTGTAGAAGCCAAAAAGTTGCACTCTTTTTACGATGAACCTAATCACAGTTTTAATTTTTTTGGGTCATGGACCAGCCTGTCTGTGTCGGCTTTTCCAGCATGGAATCCCACATCGATCCATAATATTTGTCATGAGGATAAGAAGACATGGAAAAACTAAGATCAATGTTTAGCCAACCTACCAGAAACATCTCTACGTTACATGGAAAATACCACTTGACCAATCCTAGCTTATTGGTGAGAAGCAGCAAGGTTCATATTTTTATCAGCTATTTCTCCATCAACAGCTAAAACTCAGGTTGAGTATGCGTGTGTACGGCACCAAGAAAGCCATTTAAAAAAGTAGTTTATTCAATGGGGGTGGGTGAATCAAGACAATGGTGCACAGCCTGATTAATAGCAAACCCCAAAGCACAGACTCAAACCTTTAGGGCTCAGCCAACCCACGGTGGCCCCGGCGTCCCAGTTGACAAATCCGGCCTAAAAAACGGAGCCCCCACGAATGAGAAACGGCCCGCTAAAACTTTGGGAGAAAAAAAAAAATCAGAGCGGAGCAGAGAAAGCCTTGCAGAAAGGACAGACCATTCAAAAACACAGCGCGAAAATGCCCCCTGGGCTTTTAGCATCTCAAGAGACTGATACAAATATTAAAGCATTACATTTTTGGGAACCACGAGCAAATAAAGAAACATGTTGCAACAGGAAGATTCATCAGCAGTGGCCATCTTTGCAAAGAGTTGCATTTAGGAAATATAAACATAAACCTATGTTGCTATTTCTTTGTTTATTTGTTTGGTTTCTATTCATGGATAAGCTCCAGGCGGCATACAGAGAGCTGCCTGCCCTAGAGGTTTCTCCCTAACAACCCTGTTGGGTGGGATCCCTGGCCCGAAGACCCCCCACCCCAATGAGGCTCCTCAGCCAAGGGATGATTTGGACCCGGATCTCCCTGGCGTTAATCCAGCAGATTCCTGAGCCCCACGGATGCGCAGGGTGGTCCCGACCTAAGGCGAAACCCCAACAAGCCACGTTACGGCTCAGCCCACAATCTTCACCCAAGGCCACCTCCATCTCAGGCCGACTGCAACTTCCCAACCTTCTCGATGTGTCACCACCTTTTCCAGGCGAGAGGAAGGGCCCGCGCGGGGATCCGGGGCCTTCGAAATCCGCCGGGGCGGATCCCGTGGCTCCCACCCCCCAGCAGATCCCCGATGCAGGGGACAGCGGTCCCTTTCCCCAAAAGCAGAGAGACAAAGCCGCCAGCCCCGATCTGACAGACGTGCGCACACACGCATGCACGCTTCCATGTTTATCACCCCACACCGGCGCACTTGCCGCATGTCCCCGAGACCAGCCGCCCCCTCCCACCGCCCAATGCAAGAGATGAAAACCCCACGGGCCGGAGCATCCCCGTTCTTGCTCTGCCCCCCAGACGCTGCTGGCTGACGATGCCGACCGGTCGGGTCGGTCTCTCTCTTTGCATTTGCGACACGCTGGGGGGGGAAAGGACGTGGAAGCCATTACTTTCTCGTCTCCGAAACGCCAGGTGTGTCGTAGCGAAAAATGGGCACAGCGGCTGGGTTCCCGAGATGCTCCCGAAAACGCATCCGGTGGTGCCACAACCTGGCCTCCCACGACCTCGGTCGCCTCCTCCGAAGCCACCCCGGGCGGAGG